CTCTCCTCCCTCTCTCTCGCCCCCCCTCCTCTCTCTCTCATATATACAGATACAGGTTTTCCGACAATGATGACCGTGCCAGTCCCTACACCTCAGTGAGGAGGGTTGACATAGTTGACATTTGCTCCATGAGGGTCATTGTACATTGGGGAAAGTGTGGTTTCAACTCAATATGTAGATAAGACACTAGAATATTGACTTTAAGAAATCCGTTTTCCAATGCCTAAAAACTGAATTGGATAACAAACGATGAATGCTTTCTGTAGACATCAGAAGGGCCAAGAAGTCTGAATGCATTGCTAGACTACCAAGCATCAGCACAGTCATTACAGATCGTTAAATGTTATCTTTGTTGTCTTTTTGATAAGCACAGACAGTATCATTTCTCATTTTATCTTTTTCAATCTGAAAGAAACCGTTTGTGGACAAGGATCTTTTAAAGGTTACTGGGTCACCAAGGATTCCTGTGGTGTTCAAACTGAACCAACTCTATATTCTATTACTATCTAGAATCTAGACCAAGTCTATACTCTGTTATATTTTTGTATTATGTGTTTGTAATATTCTATGCCCGTGTGGGACACAACACCAGCAACAGCTGCCTGTGTCCTACTTGTATTGTACTGTTACAGTTTCAATAAATCAAATCAACTCTAAATCTCCTTTTACGTCGTATTTACCAGATGAAACTCTGCATATAATTTCATATTACTCTGCATATAATTTCATATTACTTGTGCCATCTAGCTCTGGACGCTCTGCTAATAACTAAGTAATATTTAGGAGTTACTCCACTGCGTTTAACCATGACAAAAAGCTGATAAAACTCGACACAAGCAAAGAAAGTGAACGAAATAAAATAAGGTTTCAAAACTTTATTTCAAAATTCAAGGTGTTCAAATGGTTTTGAGGTAGATTTTACCCGTGTCTCGGGGCGTTTTCGCCACATGTACAGTAAGTTAACCCTAGCCTCTACCAGGCTTGGGGAGGCGGCTGGAAAGAGTAGAAATCGGCCAAATAGAGAGATAAGCATGCCAAGGGAGTTTGTCCGTAGAGAGAACATTTGGGTTGCGGCGAAATGTTTTCTCAACGGACAAACCCCCTTGGCATGCTTATCTCTCTATTTGGCCGATTTCCACTCTTTCCAGCCGCCTCCCCAAGCCTGGTAGAGGCTACTGTAACCCTACTGAACTCTTACTGTGGCTCGGAGAAAGCTTTCTGCCACTCCACCAAGGTGACCTCGGTCTTGGAGACCTTGATGTCCAGTTTACGGAACACGAACATCGGCAGCTTGCTCTTGATGCCTGCCGGGATCGGCTTGCCGAACTGGTAGTTGGTGTTGACCATGGCCTCGTACGTCTTTCCACTGCTGGTTCTGTAACGTTACAACACAGTAGAGTTTTACAATCAACCGTTCAGCAGAAATTGACGAGATTTCAAAAGCAGTCTTTTCAGTCACTCTGAGACGACAAAACGCGATTTTTACCTCCAAGAAAAATGGAGGTATTGTTTTTGGCGTGTCTGTGTTCACGTGTGTGTGTATGTGTGTGTGTGTGTGTGTGTGTGTGTGTGTGTGTGTGTGTGTGTGTGTGTGTGTGTGTGTGTTTGTCTTTCCGCACATTTGTAATCAGCATAACTTCAGAACGCCTTTATGGATTATAATGATGTTTGGTATGTTGGTAGATCTTAGGAAGACAAATGTCAAAGTCAAATATGGGCCTCCTGGTGGCTGACCTTGGTACTGCAGCAGAACTTCTGGTTTTTGTATCACAAGTTTTACAATCAAACGTTTAGCACAAACTGAAGAAATTTTGAATTAATGACAGTCCTTTCAGTCAGGACGAGAAAACGCAGCTCGCCTTCATTTTGATTCCAGGAACATTGATTCGTGTGAGCGTTTACGTAAGGACTTCTTTGTATGCTTGTTCCCAAACGTACACTACAGAAATGTACTCTTGAAATCTGATACTTTATGAGATATACAAATTACGATCTACATTACAATTGCAAACGTATGACTTCAGGTAGTAAGCATACTAGTAGAGAAACCTCGTTGTGCATATGTATAGAAACCACGAATTTTGTCCGCAGCTACAGGCGTAGCACTCCTACCGGGCGGTCTTTTGAGCTGGACGGGGGGAAACTATTAAAGCCCCGAAGACAGCCTGCCCTAACCACGACAGCCTGGACACCAGGCTAGTTTTGTCATTGTAGGCAAATATTTTTGTAGCAGATATTCGTTACCTTTCACAAAATGAGATTGATGTTACATGTATCTCTTACCGGTAGCCCCAGCTGAAGGCGTCGAAGAGCATGTTGTTGTCGAGCGGGACCATGCGGGACACGGTGTCGTCCACACCGGTGATGGCGCTGGTCATCACGGGGCCGTTAGCGGGAAAACCGCTTCCAGTCAGCTGAAACACGGAAACACAGTTTGGGTGTCGCGTTCGGTATGGTTCATTCTTTTAATTAACTTGTTTGAATACCGTGGATTTTTCAAACCCCGATTGGGCGCGATTTTTACCTCCATAAAAAATGGAGGTATTGTTTTTGGCGTGTCTGTGTGTCCGTGTGTCTGTCTGTGTGTGTTTCCACACATTTGTAGTCATCATTACTTCAGCTCAGAACGCCTTTTTAGATTGTGATATTTGATTTGTTGGTAGGTCATAGGAAGACAAAGGTCAAGGTCAAATATGGGCCTCCTGGTGGTTGACCTTGGTATGCATATATTATGTTAATATAAAGTTCATTTGCATAAATAATAAGGACTTGTTAAATTGAACTATTGCCAATAGGATAGGAATTTTACAAGCTAAATATTGTAATTTGATTTAAAAAACATATATAAACTAGATTATGATAATTACGACCTTACTTCCATAATCAATAAAACAAAGCCCCCCAATTTTTTTACATAAACTTTACATATTTCATGGAGGTATGAGATCTCCGAATTCTTGTTACGGGTTGCATTCGTCCTTTCGGATGGGGACGTGAAGCCATGTACGGGTTAGCTGAATTCAGGCAAGAAAAACTGCATAGCATTCTTTAAATGAAAAAATGAATGACCGGGTGCGCTTGACTTGCTTTAACAGTACTATCGAGCTACTTGAAAAGCATTACGCTAAATTGAAGACTGTTTTCCTTATTTACCTGAATAATTGGTTGTATTTAATCAGGATTCAAATATCTTCTTCTTTATGATTTTTTTATCTGAAACAGAAATTTCGTGGACCTACACAAAACTCTCCCTTGATGTGTGTGCCGTCGAAGAAGTACTTGTAGTTGGCGCTCAGCATGGCGCCGTCCTCAAACCGGAACGTGCGGTGGATTTCGTACCTGGAGCAAAAAAGACATTAGGCCATTTCCCACTAGCATGAAATTGTCCAAATCGAACCGAATTGATTCGATTTGCAATTGATCCGGCTTCGAGCTGGCTTCGAGCCGGATCGTATGCATTTCAAAACCAATCAATTCGGCTCGATCCGGACAATTTTATCCTAATAGGAATGTGGCCCTAGAAACTAAAAAGGCTGACATTTTCTCTAGAGCAAATGCAACATATTTCAGTCCATTTCCCTTCCATTTCCAAAAATGAACACGAGATGAAACACGAGGGAAAACAATATATTTCATCCAAACCTATGGCATGGACTGATATATAATAAAGGCAAGATCTGTTAATCCTATTGTCATAACAGCAGTGCAGGGCATGAAAAAAAACAGGTGAATTTTAACAAAAGTGTAACTTTACGGTGGTATTCACTGTACGAAATCCTATCCAATTTAAAGTATGCTTAAAGGTACACACAAGGGAATCAACTGAACCTTTACGTGTGCTCAAAGAATTGATTTTTGCGCGGACTGTAACTAAAATACGATGGAAGCCAAGCCAAGACACGATGATACAGCATGTAGAAATGCAAGATGCATACTGAAAATTTATGCACATTTTATAACGCCTCATTATCATACGTATTAGTATATTAAACTAGCTTGCGCTTTGATTATATGTGAAGAAAAAAAATTGCAGCACGCACCCGCCGTCCTGCATAGCGGCCTGGAACGGTGACATCTCCCCGTTAGGGAAGGGGAGGTACTGGTAGAACCCGTACCCGAGATGGGGGGTCACGATGTAGGGGGAGAAGGCGAGGGGGCCCTTTGTGGACTTCACATTCGTCTGCATGTGTCCCTACAATTCAGAGTTGTACATCGATTGAACTGCAGTTCTCTTTCCCATAATCACATGTTTCTGACCGAAAATACTGCTTCAGTACCGTAGGAAGCCTCTAGGTGGTCAATGATCAAAGTTGTCCTTCATTTTGCCAACTCCTTCCCACATGAAGATCTTTCTCTCCAAGCCAAATTGAGGGTTGGGTTTGGCGTTTTTCAGGCTTTTTTTTATTGGGCTTTCTTATATGTACGGATATCTTTTTTGTGCCAGCTCAAACCTGAAATGCCAGCACCAAAAATATACCAATACAAAAAAGCCCGACAAAAAACCTAAAAACACGCCTAAAATAAGCCCAAGTCCAAACCTCTGCTTGGAGAGTACCAACATCTATCCACAACCTCTTGTGTCATGGTATCCACAAACCCACAAAAGGGACCGAAAAAAAATTTTCTAAGCGAAAATATGGAGGGAAAACTTTATATTCTTACGTCCTTCGGGTTGCCGTCACCACCGCCTACCATGTCAAACTCATGGCCGTTGATAGAGCCATAGATGTGTAACTCGTGCGTAGCTGGGAGAGGCTGCAAACAACAAAAATTTTATAACTTTAGGTTAGGCCACACCATCTTAATTTTATGGATGATATCCGCGCGCGCATTCATTTTTGCCCGTTCTCAAAAAAAAAATTTTTTTCTTAAGAAAAGATCACATCCACCGAGTCTCTGGCCTGGCTCTGGGTAGCCCATGGTAGTTAGCGACAATACGGAGCCGGGCACACAGGCTACCGAATATTCGAAGCTCCACGGCTCAAGAACTCAGCACATACGTACAGTGCCGATTCATAAATTCCGCGAAAAGCCAGCACGTGTCGGCTTGTCGTATATTTCGCTATGTACTGCCGCAAATTAACAATTCGTCCGCGCGCACTAGTAATTTGGGGTCTTCAGAGGATGTCATCCATAGAATTAAGTCGGTGTGGCCTTGTTTGAAAAATAAGCAAAGCAAATAATGGCTCACAGGCTATGGACCGATGACAGCACTTTGCTTATCGTAAACCATGAAGGTAGGAAATCATAAAAGCCTGGCAAAATAATTTGTTGGAGCATTGAATCGGAAAGAAAATGATCGCACAACGTTAAGCGTCAGGTCTTCAAACTTAAAGTAAGATAACGAAAATGGAGTCTAGAACATTTAGCTTTTTAGCGTGACTCCTGGTGGTTGAAAGAATTTGCCGAGTTAGAAGAAAACTTTACGAAAAAGTAAACGCGGACTTACTAACCTGAAAAGCCAGCGTACAATAAAAAAAATAAAGAAGAAAGAAAAAATCGAGACTATTTGAAGAAGAGAAAAAGCTCCAAAAGTATGTAGGAACATTTTCCACAAGAGCTTTTAAGTCGGAATTTACCATCTATACGTTTGCACTGAATTTTTAAAGAAAAATTCTTCACAAGTTGGCTCACCATAATCGTTCCTGTAGGTGGGTATAGGATGAACTCTTGAAGGAAGGCTCTTTCGCAAAGTGTGGTTCAGGATCAAGCGCTGTCAATTTATACCCGCGTTGTTTTCCAGAAGGTAGGAGGGTGTGTACTCAACTCCAGATAGTGGACAACTATCTTTACATCAATCACATCCATCAGTGTATAATCTTGATCAGGGTAGACAGGCGCAGTGTCCACGAAAGTCGGCCGGGGTTTTTTCACTCAGAACCAAGCGACTCTACACTTTGAAATATGAATTTTCTGATTCTATCGGCAAATATATAGACGATAACTAATAAGTCAATATCGTTGATGAACGAAAACCATACGTTGATTTCTGATATATTTAAAATGTGGGTCAAGGATTATTATACAATGAGTTGGCACTTTTTTTTATCATTTTCCGTTTACAAACTGGAAGGCCTGTCAAGTAGGAAAGAGAAATGGGTTTAATCAGTTTCTTATGCGGGTCACTGACCGGTCGAGAATTGACCAAACCTTTGGTATCCTATTGTCTGACCATGGATATGTATGACCCTCGGTTAGACATTCTGTCTGGACTAGAAACGGAAAAGCGCACAGCAACAAACCTTAGCGTCTCCATGAAGACTTGGTATGCGTCAGTATATCTAAAGCTATTAAGAATTAATTTACTGGAGAATTGTTTTTTTTTACCAGATAAAAACCTTTCTAAAACTAATCACCCTGAGAATTGAGATGCATTTCCTTTTGGAAAATATATAGGCAATAACTATTAAGTCGATAATGAACGAAAACCATACATGTATGTATGTATGCATGTATGTATGTATGTATATATGTATATAATATTATGTATATATGTATATATGTATATATGTATGTATGTATGTATGTATGTATGTATGTATGCGTTGCTTTCTGATATATTTGAATGTGGGTCAAGGATAGTTGTACAATGCTGATAAGTTAATAATAAGGGCGTTGACACTTTTTTTATCATTTTCCGTTTACAAACTGGAAGGCCTGTCAAGAAGAAAAGAGAAATGGGTTTAATGTTTTTTTTTCACTGACCAGTTGGAGACTTGATATGCGTCTGTACATCGATCTAAAGCTAATTAGAATTGCCTTTTTACTGGAGGAAAACCTTTGTCAAACTTAACCTCAAATTTTCCGTTTACAGATCTAGACTGAAAGGCTTGTCAACTAGAATGTACTCGTGACCGAAAAAACGGTGATAATTGTTACCATAAGTACGTTATGCCAAATGTAAGGACAGTACATTATCCCAAATGTATGGACATTTTACAATTGACAAGAGTCAATGGGTCTGTGATCCCAAATATATATCACGGAAACAAAGCTCTCAACAAGGTTAACAAATCAGACTCCATTGCAGGCTAATAAATAGTAGAAATCGGTCTAGAAAGAAGTTAGCTGGCCAGGGGAGTTAGCCTATAGAGTTAGCCGGCTAGAGAGGGTCCAGTTTGCCTGCAAACTTGCAATGGAGTCTGGTGGAGACTATTAACAAATGGCGGAGAGATATTTTACAACTACAGCTGCATGAAAAATGCAACAGTAAAAATTATTTCTATCGGTAAAATTATTTTAGTTTTTCATAAATCCACTCACTCACTCACTGACTCATATTCTTGTACGCTTTCTGAGTTCATTGAACTTTAAGCGACCTTTGTTAATTTTCGGTCCACCCATTTTCCTCTGGCGTAACAATAAAACACGAGCTTGGTAGACACGTGGCCACAACTGTTTCTGCTAAATCAGCATGTCGGCAGAATGTACTGTGCTTTCGCGAAACGCTCTTGTTTTCACGGTTCTCGTTAGATACTTTTTGGTCAGCTTTGCATCATAATATTGCTTGTAGAAGATATCTTTTCCGACTTAACATTTGGAAACTACAGACAGGATAACCTGATATATACAAATACGACCTTATGTGAGACGTTCTTCCGAGGTGCTATGCTCATTTCTCTCAGGTGCAGTACGTTCTGCCGACATGCTCGCTAGATAGCACGAACCCGCTGTTAAACCTAACCTTTGAACAATCCAACTCCAAAGATTGAAGCCTCTGTCACACATATGGCCTCCTGAACTCCCCAGCGTCTGCCGAATATTTCATTATAATTTGAAAGAACTGTGTACATGTACTAGTTTTAGAATTTCGTCTTCCACTGCATTTTAGGAGCAATATTTACAAATTCTCTAGAATATAGTATAATGCTAGACGTAGATATAGTCTCACATACCACTGTATTTCTCTCTTATGTTGTTTGTAACTGCAATTAGCCATCGGGCAAGTATTTGTAATGAACTTTCTATAAACTTTTTATAATCAAAACATCATCGGGAGTGGACAGTAGGTTGGGTAATGGTTGGCTGGCGGTTGGTTGGTGTTTGGGAGTAGGTCCGCAGTGTTTGGGGCGTGGTTGGGTGTCAAATTTGATTCAGATTTAACTCAAATTTGATTCGATCGTAAGTGTGGGCTAAATCTGGTTAGACTATCGCTCACACACACACACACACACACACACACACACACACACACACACACACACAAACACATCTCTCTTCGTTTCTCTCTTTATCTCTCTTTCTCTGTCTCTGCCTCTCTCTCTCTTTCTGTGTGTGTCACACTCTTTGTGTCACACGCACGCACGCACGCACACACACACACACACACACACACACACACACACTCACACACACACACTCACACACACACACTAAATGTAGGGTCTATCTGCGTTGTCTCTCATACATGTACCCTGTCGTACATACACAGGAACACCGGAACACCCTACATCTACAGCCATGATTGATCGCTGTCGGACAGGCATTCAGTCTGCCCCCCAGCCTGGAAAGATCGGACAATACGGTCTATTAAACACACATAATGACAGTATTGACAACCTTTAATGATGTCCATGATGAGCCTGGTATTATCGTGGCCGCCTAACAATGTACAAAATTGTGTGTCTCTTCATCTAAGCTATCACAACATCTAGTACTCTTTACCTAGTGAGGTGAGAATGTCATCTATCCAGTAATGACTTGTCCTATAATCCCATGCCAACACATTACATATATGTTTGCGGCGTTCAGCCTCACCGTATGTCAATGCAGACCACGTTCTTAGGCCTCTTCTGTAACCTTTTTTTTTTGCTACACAGATAGGGATCTATAGCCTCTCCCAGGCTTCGTGAGGCTTGCTTCGACAGAAAGTACATTTTGCCGCACCCAAACTCTCTAGCAGACCAACTCCTTCGGCATATTAGCTCTCTATTTGGCCAATTTCTACTCCGCCCCCGAAGCCTGGTAGAGGCTAAGGTATCTATGTGGCCCACAAATATAAACAACTTGTATATGTCCCTGAAATTCTTGTATTGTTGCATTCGTTTTGATGTTGATGGCTTCTGTCGTCTGGGTTTCTGCAGAGCATATTAGGCCTCATGTGTAGGTGATATGTATCCATGGTGAAATAGATAAACAATGAACAACAAAGTGATATCAAATCTCATTCAATTTACCAATTACCACCATTCAGGAATCTATGTTAAGGCCGTGTTGATTTGATCATATGGATGCCATCCTCTGGGAACCCCAAAACTGACGCGAGCGTGCGAATAAAAAACAAGTTTGGCCAAAAAAATTTCCTTCATTGTGAAATCTACGTGGTCATAAAAGTTGAACAAATGACTACACACACAGAGTATGGTATGGCGAATAATAATAGACTCTTCATTTTCATTTCTTTACATTTTCTTCTTTCCTAAATTGATTTCGGTATTCTATGACATTAGACTCGTTTTCCAATACTTTTTATTGCAACATACGACATAGATTCGCTCATTTTTTTCACGATTTACACAGTATGGTCAAAAACTTTTGGACGAAAATTCATGCGCGCGCGGATGTCATCCATATAATCACATCAACATTGCCTGAGGAGACGGCTCCACGCTTCAGGGGAGGTGATACACACTTAATGACGTCGATTGACGCCATTAAAATTCCCCTGGAGAGATGCAGAGAAGACAGACAAAAGATTACACTGGAAAAGGGACACGCACCTGTTTACACTATACAACTCAACTGGCGTGGTTTTTATGTGTGTCACAATTTCTGCATAGAAAAGGGGGACAAGAGTCCCATGAACATAAGGTTAGGTATAGTTGGAAATGTCCTCCAGTTTGGCGTGTCCTTGGTTCCTTATGATTTGTACTGTAGGTCTTTGCCCTAGTTTAGCGCAATGGTACGAGTGGCGCCGGCGTGATCAAAGCAAAGATATCCTTCCGCGCGTTGACTCTTGGATGTGACAGGTAACCTTCGGTTAGAACTTTACCCGTACGAAACTTCACTAACCAGTAGGCTTACCAGTAACAACTTTACGAACCAGTAAGAACCTTTTTAAAGTTACAGGGTCTTATAAAGATCCTTACTTGTAAACTTACTTACTTTTAAGACCCAGTAACTTTACCAATATGTACAGAACTACTAGACTAGCAAATACACAAGCCATTTTTGACAGTCTAAAAGTTCAATGACCCGTTCGTGATCGTGAAAAGCACCTATTAGTAAATCCTTCAGCCAATCTTTCATACCCATTAGTCCACACACACTTAATTGTATGGATGACATCCGCGCGCGCATTCATTTTCGCCTGTTCTCTAAAAAAAAATCGCGTCCACCGAGGCTCTGGCCTGGCTGTAGGCCTGGGTAGTCCATGATACTTAGTGACAATACGGAGCCAGGCACCCAGGCTCAAGAACTCAGTACATACGTACAGTGCCGATTTATAAATTCCGCAAAAAGCCAGCATGTGCCGGCTTTTCGTATACGTTGCTAATTACTGCCGCAAATTCACAATACCAACTTTGCATTCCTGTGGTTTAGTAGCATTTTTACTTTTGGCCGGAATTTTTTTATTCGCCCGCGCGCACTAGTTTGGGGGTCTTCAGAGGATGTCATCCATAAAATTAAGACGGTGTGGAAGTGTAAATCTTTGAACAGTGCATTCGCCTGCAAACGCCCGGAGACACTGTT